AACGTGAGCGTGCCGCGGTAGCGGCCGGCCAAAGCCAGAACCAAACTGCTTGCGATGTAGACTGTAGTATTAGAACCAAATCCACTAGCCTAAAGAAAATGAAACGGTAGTTTAGATTAGCATTGCGACCAACGTCAACAACGAACCACATGCAACTAAAAAAAATGAAAAAGGAAATGATTATTATGTTATTGTCATTGTGTTTTGAAAAGAAAATTGACCACAAAGATTTCTTCATGTTGTTTTATATCTCAGAGAAAGAAGATCAATCATAATCAGATGACTCAAGTTTTTTTAATAATTGATTTTATTTTTCAGGGATAATAAATAGGTTTTTAAGTAAACTTCTTTACATTGTTTGGTGATTCAATTTTAGTGACACATCTACTGGTTCTGCAAAAAATATTATTTATTAGACTCTTGAAAACACATTTATTTGGTGATTCATATAATCATACTCATTTATAATGGGTAAATACACTAGTCGCAGTCGAATGCCCTATAGCCGCGCTACTGAAATCGGCATAACTTTAGAACGTGCTTTAGAAGGTACGTAGCCTAGGTATATATTCATCAAATCAGTTATTTGTCACATACCTTCGTATATGTAGACAAATGTAAGACATTATGTTAAATCAACTGTAAAGTCAATAAAGTTTTATTGCTGGTAGTTGAATGTTAGTCATATAAACTTTTTTTAAACGCTTTCCAAGATGGTGTCACACAGTTTATAGGTTCTTATGGTCGCAGAGTTTTATGTCGCTGGGAATTAATGTTGCGGATGAGTTGTGGTCCGAATAATAGCTAGATAGTAGTAATGGAAAATACACTGAATGGTTTTTAGAAGAGCATTTTAAATGGAAAATATAATTATTTTCCATTTAAATGCTTATAATTTAATTTTCAAATAAATAATCTTATTCCTGCTCTTTTTCCAATCTTATTTGGGGTCAGAAAAGTGTTTATTTTAAACGATTTGTATGGTTTCGTAGAAATAATTTATTATTAATCTATTATAATAAGTTATGGAAGGGCTATACCTCGGTCCAAATGGGCCTGGGGCAATACGTCACAGAAAACCGGTGTTAAGCTAAGTCTTTCTTTGCTTTTCACTGAGTGAGTGAGGTGGTGCCCCAAACTCCTCTTCCCCCTAATTCTAGGGAGAGGAGACTCAAAGGACGGCAATACGTTCCTCTGCGACTCTTGACTTGCTGACGTCCATGGGCGTTGGCAGTTATTTACCATCAGGCGACCTGTGACTTATCTGCATGTTTGCCTCCTTTACCATAAAAATTAATTCCCATTAAAATTAAACCAAACTATTTGACATAATTTGATTAATAAGGTTAAAAACATTTAACGTAAATAACGTAATAACGTAAATTTGATTAATACATCATGAAAATCATAACCTTCTTTTTCTGGAATGAATCTAACTATCTAGCTATCTTAATGACCTCCCAAAAACAAACTCATTTCGTTAATTCAATTAGAACAACCTACATAAAATTGTATCAAAACATAAAATTGTGTGAAAACATCTATAGATAAAAAGCATGTAAGTTTATGGAAAATGCTTTCAATATAATCATCAACAGTTTCTTTTAAGGAGAGGTCTATGTCCAGCACCACTGCTGGACAAAAGGCCTCTCCTTAGAAAGGAGGTTTTGGCCTACTATACCACCCTGGCCAGACGGGTTGGAATAGGATTTATGTCAAGTTTTCATTCTTTTACAGTGCTGTTTTCCTGCGTAGTTTGCTCCCTTAGTCGTCTCTTACACCCACGGGATGAATAAACTCCGTATTCTTAATCCGTCACCTCACGGACGATTTATATTTCAATATAATATGTATGGTGTATGAATAACACTGCCCTTTCCTACACGGAAATATGGCAAGGCCATTTGCACAAATGTCAGGCCTTCTTGTAGATGTGTACACCTGTTGCGTGTCGGCAGCAGTTTGTTTGTACTTCCTAATGTGATTTGAATTATATTTTATAATAAAAAAATGTATCGTGTAAAGTGTCATACATAAACCTTTAAAGATACGTAAACGTTGAGAAATGATTTTATTGGTAATTTCGAACAAGAACAAAAAAGAAATAGAATATTTTTCATTCGCTGTTTAGTTTAAAAGCTGAAAATATTTTTGACCTTCTTGTAATATAGGAATAACTAAAAAAAAACATTAACCTGACCTACAATCTAGGCATTGATATAAGTCTAAGAAATAATTACCAGACTAAAATTGTAACTAAAATAATAAATATAAATTTAAAACATGAATAAAAGAAAACATTTAGTCTTAATAATTATTTCTAAGTTTGTAATAGAAAAATAAAACTCGTTTCTTGTGTATTTGTATATGTGTAGGTAGTGTATGTATACTAATAGTAAAAAGTACAAAGTCATTTATTAAAATAAACTACAAATATTGCTTGATAAATATTAGCGACTTTGAAGATAATTTTTTTATGTAAACGTGTTATTATTAAAATATTATGAGTTTTGAAGACAAAAACAGACGACAAAGACAACAAATCAATCTCACCATAAACACAAGTTTTTTTAAAAGCGCCCCTGGCGGAATAATGTCTAACTAGAATAATAACTCGATAACATAATGTAATCTTTATAGTTGACTCAAATATAATAAAAATTGAGTTCTTTATTCAACTACATTGGACAAGGTATTTTTAAAGTATAATCGGTATATCAAAAACTTTCACAGTGCTTTCTAGGCCATTATAGTTCCATTATGATACTCTAGATGGCATTAAATTAAAATTTTATCTACTAGTAAATTGGGTTTTAAAGGTCTTTGTTTTTTTATTATGTTTATAAATTGTTTTTGTTTTTTATGTTTATACAACTAAAATGAGCTTTTTAAGTAAGCGATAAAATATATTTTGCATTTATTTTGTTCCCCATTAGTATGGATATCAAATAGGTAATAAATGTTATCTAATGGTTCTAAACATTGAAATATTTACTTATGTGATCAATAGTAGTAGTAATCAATAAACGTCGTCGTAAAGAAGGTAGTATGAAACTGTTTAAAAATCTATGAGACACCAGCGCCATAAGTTCTCCCAGTGGCGAAATTATTGAACTTTATGCATATTTTTTCTAATAACTTCTAAGCGTTTTATTTAAATATCTATTATACTTTACATACCTAAATCATTCTAAGAGAATAATTCGAATGTTTTTATTTTATAAATGACTAGACTTTAGAACTATTGGTTTTTTTTTCTGCAACAGAGGTCTCTAATGGCTATCACTGTATCCTTGGAATTTACAAAATTGCTAGCAATTCAAAGAAACGGTTGGAAAGCGCATAAAAGATGAATAAACAATCATTGATTTTTCTCTATAAGAAGTTATACTCGTAGCATTATTCTTACAGCAAAATTCATTTCAAAAACAAATTTAGAATTTAAAAAAGTTCTAAATAAGGCATAGTTTATTTCAAATAACAGAAGTCATCTGGTGCATGTAACATAGCGCCACTCAAATAATTCTAAATTTAAAATCCTAAGCGCCGTACTATTTCCGTTGAACGTGGGAGCTTGTTCTATTTTTGCACCTGTTGTTTCAAACTCCGAGCTCTTTGCTTGTTCTGATTGCCTGGTACTTTCTGGGCGAAAAGTGACTTTTGTGACGTAACAGACATACGCCCGTCACTGTCATCCACCTGTCAAGTTAAACGGGGATAGATGATGGTGTGCTGAACGCTGAAACTGAAACGGGCAGTTGATTGATTATGTTATCCAGCGATTTTTTATCGGGAAGAAATGGGATGGAACTGGTTTTTCTTTCAGACTTTGGGTATTAGGTTTTTTTTTTAATGAGTTTTTTTTTAAAAAAGCTCTTAAAAATCGATATCATTAAATTAAAATCTTTTAATAATATGAGTAAAAAATATATTAGAAATTAAAAGAAACACTTCACAAAATGAATAATCTTAATCATTATATCAAGTTTTAATTTCAATAGATTCAGCGTCACGATTTCAGTAATCAAGGGTTACAGGATTTCCTTGAAATTTCAGGAATAAGGTTAACTGTACCAGGCTTCCAGCGACTACGAAGGACTATTGGAAATGCGAAGTGAAGCACAGACAATCTCTGCATGTGTGCGTAACAAACTTATTGGACACCTGTAACTGAAGTTTGGGAAGTAGTTACACAAGTTTGTTTCAGTATTAAAAGGGATTATATTCAAGTAAAAAAATCAAATCGTCTTGGATCCTAATATCATAGAGCTAGTTATCGTTTTCCTTAGCTCTAAACTGACCATATTGAAATGAAAAGAGTGCGAACACATAACCAACTATTAATTTTATTATCATAAATTTAGGAAATGTAAAATTCATTTACATTTTATTTGTTATATTCAAGAAATCCATATTGAATATATAAAGTAGAAAAAATGTTTGTTGCTAGTTACAAATTTTTGAACTATGTATTTAAACTTTTTTTATAATTTTTTAATGAGACACTCACATTACATTTACATACTCGTATTACATACACGCCCTGGGACTTAATATTATTATTGAGTTCCAGGGCGTTTATTACAATTCTATGAGATCGAAATCAGGCAAAGTAAAGCTATACAATACCTAGTAAATACATGACGAATCCCGTGAGTCATACACATTTTTTTACACTATAGATAAGATATTATCTATTCAATAAATGCTTATATTTATTAACACAGAATGAGAAAAAAAATATTAAGCAAAGAAAAACTCCAACCTTTTTACATCCACATTGTCCGAAATAAATAAATCAAATGAAACAAAAACAAATTGCATCTAATTACGTACTAATCTCCAAACAACTTTAAGAGAAAAAAGTTTGCAAAGTTAACAAATTACATCGGTAGGTGTAAACACACACTACAATCACAGCTAACAGACTGCTTGGCGCTTCCCAAATTAGCCCTATAACCGTCCCTGTTCATCCCTTATTTTTAGAATATCTGCTATCTTTATCGCTCTCGTAGCTTTTCTCGAGCTTTCCCCGACGCCGCGCGGGCATGCGCATTACGTCCCGACGCACGTGCTATAACAGCTCCTAGTGTTTTCTGTGTCCCTGGTATCGGGCGCGCCTTGGGCGGCAGCGTCGCGCCGATGCTGATCGCTGTGGCCGCCCTAACACCTTCCCGCCCGCCCAGAAGCATAGACGAGCGCCTACGATACGGTCCGTTCTCGAGTTGTGGGAAAACGTCGAGCGCACGTGAATAACTTACGCGCGAATTGAAATAATTATATATTTGCGTTAAAACGTTTTAAACAAGTGTTTCTGATTTAATTTAGATTAAAATCCCTTAGTACGGCAATTCCTCTTCCTTTCCCAATTTATAAATTAATTTAGTCCTGTTAAATTATTTTTTTAGCTTTGTAATTTATTGGTGTTGTTTAGACACAGGTGTTTTGTGCAGTGTGTGTGTCTTCGTGTTGCTGTCTGCTGATGCTCTTCGTATCCTGAGGCAGCTACGGGTTCTGTCATAAGTATGAGGCGATACTCAGCAATGCCAGGTAAGAGCATTTTGTATAACAAATTGTAATGAAAGTTTTGTTTGCATTGAGAAGATTGTTTTTTAAATTAACTTAAGAATTCTACTGTTGAAAAGACTAATAAATTTAAAAGAGATTTTTTTCGTTTTGAAATAAATAATCAGGAGAGGGTATTTTTACTGACAAAAATAGGTGGGTATTGCTTAGAATATAGATAAAAGTTAATTACTTTTATGAGTTTCATTTTAGAAATACCGATCTTTATACATTGTAACGAATAGAAATTTCACTCGTAAAATAAAGTACGGTAACGTGGAATGTAATATGACATTTAAAAATGTTTTGTAAGAGAAAAACATAAAATGGACGAAAAAAACATCAAAGACTAAGTTGCTTGGATGTTCTTTTTAACATTTTGTCAAATAAGCGACACATTAAACCGCTTAAGTGCTTATAATAACTTACTCGCTTCTTTTATAAACAGGAATATTTTCCTCATTAAGATCAAAGAAACTTTTTATTTAAAATTTGCATTAAAGGTAAATAAGATTCATGGTTTTGTATTAACGTTATCCTACCTAACAAATGTTCCTACCTAACAATTATTCATTAGCAGAGTGATTAACATAAACTAGAACTGTTAAGTAAAGGTAATGAAAAAAGTAATTAAAAAGCTGAACCAAACACTTTAACAGGTTTTTTTTGTGTAAGTCAGCAAAGTATAGAATGAATTGCTTGCGTTTATTTTTCCACACAATTGTAATCCGGGCACGTTTATGGATAGAGCTAAGTTTTGTTTTTCTGAACAGGACTCACCTGTTCAGAAAAACTCCACCTGTCTCGACTTTATCGCCACTTTACATTAGGTGACTGTAACAAACGTCGGTTCCATTGTTCTATAAAAATGTAGTGTTTAATATTTTAAAACCATTACACACATTCGTTTAACACTAATTAGTAAATTTTTAAGTTGTGAACACACTAATTTAACTTTACAGCCACACCAATGCAATATCTCTTTCCTGCCATAGGCTTTCTAACTTACCGACTTTGCATTTCATATTGAACTCCTAGTTTACCTATCTTATTCCTAAAATGCCCAGGCAGTCTTTTCCTCTATTTGACGGGTGGGATCAAAATTATAGTCGTCACAATTTAAGTGTTTAAAAAGCCTCTGCGATGCTGTAGGTATGTATGGTGTATGTATCTATGCAATCTAAGTTAGAACCATGCTGTTCCACAAATCATCGATTCCAAAAATAAGGAATGAGACATGACATCTCCCTTTCTGACCTTGTAACCCACATAGTCGACATAGACTAGCAGTAGTATATTCGACTGCCGCGTTAAGGTCCATAGTTTTGATTACCCTTCAGTTGAAATATTTTAAGAATGAATATGGTTATTATATGGTTATATATATATACGGACGGATACGGATATTTAATATATCTTTATAAAATATTTATGTTTAAGTATAGAAAAATGTTTCCAAGCATTATTATTCTAAAAGAAATACTACAATCTATAATGTACTTCTGTTATCTTCTAAATGACACTGTGTGATATTTTTAAGAATGTCTCATAAAGAAAAAATCCTCACTCGTTTTCTTTTTTAGTTAAACGGATAGGGGATTTTTTCAGTTGCTTCTTATCTCGTAAGATATCGTTCGTTGGAGTACAGTATGAAAAGCTAAAGCTCCCAAATTAAAGCAAACAATCAAAAAAAATTGTAACAGTTATTTGATCTGAAGTTAGCTTCATTGGATTGCATAATTGTGGAATATGCAATTTTTTTCCAAAATATATAAAAAGTTTCCAAAACTAATGATTTTAGTCATTGGCAAACAAGTATCAAAACATAGTAGTTCTCTTTAAATACTTATAGTAACTCCACAAGTTACTCTTTTATTCCATCGTGCCATATTTAAGTTGTAAATTCGTTCTTAAAATGAGTTTAAATTCAACAAAAAATGTTACATCTTCTTCGTTTACATTCTAAATAAGGAAGTGACCGCAAATTTCCTATCTGGTACATTGTTTTCTTTTACAGAGAATAAAATATCAGAAAGTTAATACTTTTGTGGGTAGGTACTAATTACTAATTTACTTACGCTTGTTCGTATACCATGTTGACGTCATAACCTGAAAACTCTACATGTAATTGAATTGTACATTGATTTATTTCACTTTATTTATAAAAGACAACTCCTTTGATAAAGTTGCCTAGTTATAATTTGATTGCAACTTAAATTTGTAGTTAAATATGTATTCGCCTTTAGAGTAATAATAAAGTGAACTGACAAGTTCAAGTAAACTGATGATAATATTGAGAGACTATACAGAGTGTACAAAAGAGGTCTAAATATAATCCATCATAATAATGTTATTTATTAATAGGAAAATAAGATACAACTGTCACTTACGGATTCACTTAACTGCACGGATGTCGTAGTGGTTTAAGCGGTCGCCACGCCGCTTTCTATTGCGCCGAGTGTTGTGGGTTCAAACCCCACATGGGATAACACTTTGTGTGATCCACAAATTGTTGTTCTGAGTCTGGGTGTACTTTGTGTCCGTTTCATGTATGTTTGTAAAGTCCCCCGCGACACAGGATTTATTCCTAGTGCGGGAATTGTCTTTTTAGTAAAAACGAGAAAAACTTTTTTATGGTATAACGTGGTAAACGAGCAGATGGGTGATTGGATGTTAAATGGCTACCGCCACCCAAGAGCACTCGCAATTTAAGAGTCACAAAAAGCATAGCCACCTTTTAAGTACAGCCCTCTCCTCAGAATCGGCAGCAGTAACTCAGTGAAAAGCAATAAAAATTTGCTTAACCCCTGTCTTCTGTGAGGCCGTGGTATCACTCCCGTCGAGCTGGCCCATCTGTGTGGAAGCACGGCCCACCTACGATTAATGCCATTTATTTGTAAACTTTAGATTCCCCTCTCCAAATGAAGTAGTAGTGAGGCACTTACAAAGTGGCTGCAGATTCAAGTTTTTTAGTCCATTCAAACCACAGTATGTGGTTCGTTGCAAATAAAAATAAAATCCGTCCCCCTTTTCACGTCCCGAGGGCGGTTCAAAAGATGAATTTGACGGCTCTTTGGCTCACATGTTACGTATTGCAAAGCATTTTGTATTTTAAATATCAGAATGTATACCTTACTAAATAAATTTAATACATGTTTTTTTTTATGTACCACACATTTCTTTAAAACTAAAACTGAACTGAACTATGCATATGACAATAAATTGGAGTAGGTACATTGTTGAATTGTTATACCGAGAACTCACCTGATCCAATCCATTTTTAAACATTACTTATAATTTCCGATCGCCCGGTCAAATTTCAACCATTTTTTTTTTCATTTCATGTGTTAGTATAATTCAAACTGTATTAGTATAGACTTAAATACCAGAGACGCGTATAGCTATATGAGCCCTTTTTACGTAGTTCTTAACTGTCTAATACGCATTGTTTATTTGCTTGTTGTTTTTTTTTTTAAAGACAACTCCACTAGGAATAATATATAGTCGCGAGGGACTTTACAAACATACATGAAACGGACACAAGGACACCCAGACTCAGAACAACAATTTGGGAATCACACAAAGTGTCGTCCCATGTGGGGATCGGTCCCACAACACAACGGTTTAATGGTTAGTGAGCCTGAATGCTAAGCCTGATATCAGGTGCAGAAAAAAACTGTCCTATAGTACCTGTTTAGTTTACAATATATTATAACTTCTTTCACTACTGTTAGGCTAGATAATTCCTTATCAGAGCTTTCTTCGCGATTAAAATAGTAAATCTTAAGATATGTTGCCCGACTGTTTCCGAAGAATAAAAGAGAACACAATTGATGTGATTTTTCGAAGCGTAAATACTAAAGCTTAAAGCGTTAAAGGTTGATAGTTATATGTGTTACTAGATAGGCAGTTGAAAATGCAGTAAAGTTCTACATTTCATCATTTTTTCCACCGTGTCGTCTTCATAATTGAAATTACACTTTAAACGAGTTCCGTGTGAGAGCTCTTAATATAACTGGGATAAATATTAAACTTATATTTCGTAGCTCGCAACTGATATGAGATGCACCCTCGTTAAGTGCAAAGCAAACGCGCCTGCATCAAAGTCGTTGAACAGACTGCTTAAATTTGCGTAATATTTTTATTACATACTGTGTTACCGATGACATCGCTTAGTAAAATTAAAAAAAAAACTTTTTATTTTTAGTTTTAGTATGAATTTCACTGCATTCGATATATTATTATAGGGAAATAAGAAGTAAAAAAAAAACAATAAGGTAAAGATGGAGTAAGTACTCAAAAACACAGATTTTATAAAGGTTTTTTTTATATTTGTCAACGAAAATAAAATGATAGACCTAAACTCATCAAGCAAGGAATGTAAAACGAATAAATCTCTGGTGTAATCTCAAGTTAATTAATCTTAAGGAATAATGTTTAAATCTGTCAAATTTTAATATTATTGTAATGTGAGAAAAAAAAAAAGAAATTATGTGTGATATTTTTGGCTGGCTCTTGGTCCATTACCATCCAAAACAAGCATTGTGAGCACTGAGTAAGTATATTTAATTTTAGAAATACACTAGCGGACCGTACACAGTCCGAATTGTGAAAAATGAAAACCTTTCTCAAATCTATTTAAACACACAAATTTTTATATCAAAATCGGTCCAGCCGTTTAGAAGGAGGTCAGTCACATACGGCAATAGTCTTTTAGCAGTCCCATTCTATTCTAGTAATAAAGGGCCCCTATGGGACTAAAATGCTAGACCCCAAATTATCGGCGTTTATTACGCGTGACTTCCCCTACGGGGATAAGTTTATTATATGTAAAGATGTAATATTCCTGATTCTCTCGCTCGTGCACTGTTCATTCCAGTTTGTAGTATGGGTTGATTATTTCACAAATTCTATTAGTTTTTCTACATCTTTATACCAGTGCTTCACAGTGTTAGGGGTCATGCCATCGACATGCCACCGATAGGTGGTATCCGAGGGAATTTAAGCACGGAAAAAAAAAGGAAAGGGATCAGTTTCCTTTTAAACTTATTTTTTTATATTCGTGTAAACCGTCACTGTCCACCAAACAAATTTCAATTCAAGCTAAACTTAACTTGAATCACATTTTATCATTTTAGTGTAACGGAAACCAGATTATACTTATATTAATTCGAACAATGGGAGAATAAAAATCGTGTAAGAGAAAAATATATCATATTTTAAAAATATGTCTGCATTCTCTAACTCGTACATAAGAATACGAAAACACAAATATAGAGACTAGATTCCGTCGGTAGCACGATGCCTTGAGGCTATTCAAAGATTTAAAATTTAAGCCGTTTTAAAGTTTCAGCAATACCACCTCTTGTAACTGGAAGCCTGGTAGAATAAACACAGCATAGTTTGTGTTTATTTGTATAGCTACATTAAAATTGTGTAATTATTGTTCTCTACCGTTGTACTAACTTGAACTTTCGCCTTCCATGATATTTAATTATTCGTTCTGACTATGACCGCAGCTAGTACGATCTAGTCGACATATCAGGTAATTTAAAGGTATGTAATATTGATTACTCGCATAATTTATTATTTATTAATTTATTAAATTCATTAATCTAATACCTTTAAACGAGCAATTCTTGTATATATATATATATATAAATAATATATGCGTATAGTAATCCATGTTCTCTTGCGTTGTAACTGTGAATAGGTAGCGGTAGTCGCTTACCATCAGGAGAGAGTACCATGAAAAAAACTTGATAATTTTCGGTTTCCGTCATGTATAAATTATTAGTACCTGGATGACCGAGCCTAAGATTTTCTAAAAATGAAACCTAGCTAGACATACTAAATTTCATAAAAATCGTTGGAGCCGTTTCCGAGATTCAGATTATTATATACGATGGCATAGTTGTTTAAACGGGCACCTCGCCGCTTCCTACTGTGCTGAGTGTTGTGGATCCGAGTCCCCAAGGGACAACACTTTGTGTGATCATCAAATTGTTGTTCTGAGTATGAGTGTTTTGTGTCCGTTACCATGTATGTTTGTAAAGTTCCCCTCGACACAGGATATATTCCTACTACGGGAGTTTTCTTAAAAAAATACAAGAAACAATAAACAATATATATTATCATACAATATATAAAAAAGACGTGTGGCACTCGGGGACTGCCGCGGTAAAGCTATTGCCTATGCAATAGCTTTACCGCGGCAGTCCCCGAGTTTTGTCCGCGAGTCCCATTTTGTATCAACTTATGCAATTATAATTATTTATTTATTTTATTTATGCAGTATTTCTTTTTCTTTGATATTAATTCAAGTTACACTTTTTGAGCGTGGTGACCGTAAATAAAAATATTGAAGCATATATTACAATTTGTTTTTAAATAAATAAATAAAAAATATTATTATTAAATCAAATTACATATCCATGTAAGATTTTTCTGCATTATGTTGACGAAATTTCCTTTGATGTTCAGCATTTGATTTTGGTACTGTTTTTTGTTTTGTTTTTAGCGTGAGGTTTTTTTTCGTTACGGAATTTCTGGATACGGTCCCCGCGCTCAAGGCCCTCGATAAAAGCTATCCAATAGCTTAAAAATATATATTTTCAAGTAAATTTACCTAAAAATGGCTACGTAAGTCACACGCTTCCAATAGAGTTGTCTTGTTACCTCTATATATACAATACCAGATCAAGTTATACTGACTTAAAATATAAAATAAAAAGTAATCAAATTTTACTCGACATTTGACGATCAGTGACCTCAGTATCATCAACAGCCTTTAATAGTCCACTGCTGGATATAGGCGTTTCTTTAAACAGGAGGTTTTGGCCTACTATCTACTATTGACCTCAGTATGTGTAAAACAAAATAAAAATAGTAAATACTACAGTACTGAATGTAAATACAATGATAAATTTAAATAAAACTTCTATCTTTATCTTCACCAATTCCGATCTAAATAGCTATATTTCACTCAAGTATCATGAAGCATTTGATTGATTACAATGTATATATTATTCGAAGAACACCCTGCCAACGAGGGGTAAACTAAACAAACCAAAAGGGAATTCACTGAGTAAATCT